CTGTCTATGAATGAATGAATGAATGCCACTGGTAGCATTCCAACCAAGCTGCAGAACCCTTGGATATAGACAGAATCTATTGTAGATACCAATGTACCAAGGGTCTGAGGTCGGGGGGTTGCAATCCACAAATAGGTACGGAAATATGATCCCCTGTAGGAGCCGATGAAATTCGAAACTCCAACGACAACAGGGAGGAATGTACAAGCCAAAAATTTAACCAATGTGCATGCTAACAATGAATCCAGCTCATCATCAATGAAGTTGGTGATACAGAGAATCTTCCAACAAAGTGAAGTGAAAGGGAAAAAAAAATGTTGAATTTTAGAGTTGTAAGTTTATAGACTTATCCATACTTAATTTTTATGGATTTTTTTTTCAAGTTTGGTACACTGGTAGATCTTTACAGCCTATACTTAGGTGTCAAATTTGGTCTAAATATAAGTCACACGTGCAAAGTTATTCAACAAAAATGGCTCAATTTTGAACAAAATGTTTGCACACACTTATGCAAAAAGTCACGTGAGTTATTGGTCTAAAATATTTACTACAGCTTCACCTAAGTGCATGGTTTTTACTCATTTGGATTAAAGACGGTTGAATTAGAGCACAAAAACTACAGGGTGAAAGAATGTACAGATACATAAATATTGTTAGGCCAAATACACTAGAATAGAAGTTTCTAGCTCAAGTTTTTAAAACAGTCATATGGGTGGACTGTTATTATTCATTGCTAATTTTTTTAAGCACAGATTTTACTAATTTATCCTAATTAAAGAGTGTTTAGCATCATGCGATATTAATTGAAGCACTTTGTAAAGAGGCAGTTTACCTGCTAGCAGCAAATGACTTCTTCTTATACATATAATAATAATGTACAAACGAAAAAATCATGGACATTCATAATATAGTTTTGAGGAATATGTCCATTCAAATTGACAGTTGACGACTCTGAGTCTGTTCATAAGTGCATTCAACATTGTAACAGCTTCCAGATTCCCACCAATTTAAAAATGTGATCATACAAAAAAAGAGCAGAGCACATGACAAAAGTGCATGATTTTTGTGACACCTTTGAGAAATGGGGATTATAGCTTGCAGTTCTTCTATAAAGTCAATTTAAATCTCCTTTTTAGGTGTAGGATTTCCTCACAAAGGGAAAATGATGTAATTAAATTCATATGAGGAGTTGTTTTTAAATTTCAATAATGATTATTTTCTCAGATTTTATAAAATCCAAAAACAACGAAAAATATGTTGAATATTGAAGACACTTTGGATCAAAAAGGGCGACGTTCAAACTCCACTCCTGTATCCACTACTGACAAACACATGTTCAAAGACATGATGTAGCTCTCTCATGCTGGAAAATTTCGGCATTTTTTTTGTCATTGTATTTTTAGTCAGTCAATAATATTTTATTTAAGGGATCATCTGAAATTGTGTATATGCCTCAGTTGCGTTTTTTCTGTAATAAATCTAGGCCTATCACAAATGACTAGGTCTGCATGTGTTTTCAGATTTTTTTTTAAACACTGAACCCATTGGTGATGCGGGAATGCATACATTTTGTAATGTGTGTTGGTTATTGTTGTTACTTTTTCTAGCATGGTGTCCTATTTTTTCAGTGGGCCTCGAACTGCAGCTCCACCAGCCCCCCACCTTAATCTGGCCCTGGACGCTAAATATTAGAGGTGGGATAGGAGAGACTTCATTTGCCTCCAGGTCGGAAATAATAATCCAGGAATTCATACCGTAAATTAGCTTGCCATTCGGAATAAAAAATTTTATTTTTTAATAACTATTACAAAAATCAACTAGATAACACAGATAACGTTCGAAGTATCTCTGAACAATCATAATACTGGGAAACCCATTAGTGATGCTTTGTCAAGAAAAAGTGATAACATTATCTGAATGAGGTGCATATATACAGTACTAGGATATAGGGGAATAACATAGGTGGAGAGGGTCATGAGATAAATATCACCTAAGGCAATTGAGTAGGTTATAAAAGACTGGAGCAAATGAGAAAAAATCAGACCAATGCTTAGATGACCAAATGAAAAACCCTGACAGTGGAGTAATAGCTAGCTATCAGTGTGAGATGAGATAAGTATGTTTTGAAATTTGGAATCATATTAAACTGCAAAGAAGTTGAAAATGAGAAGAAAAAATCAATAAATACAGGTAAGTTATTGCAGCAAACTACTACGGAGAAAACTAACTGTAGCAAATAAATAGATCAAGTAGTTGCTACTTCACACAAAAAATAAATAAGTGAATGAACCTGTGAAAAAAAGCACAAATGAAAAATGTCTGCACTGAATCAGTGCCTAACGAGAGGTGATAGTTCGGTATAATCGAATAGAGTGAGTCACATGCTTCAGTAGGGTGTGCCATACTCCTGTTGGTGGAGGGTTGCCACATAATGATTTACATGCAAGATACAGTTGAACCACATTGTTCATGGGGTATGTGGAAGTTCAAGACTTGTAATATGCAAAAATATTTTTTGTATATAGAGGGCAACACTGAACAATAACAGCCATACATGTGAGAGGAGGTAATGTACTGTATCGGAAGTTGTATTTTTCAAGCAACTTTTGTTTAAAATTTTTAAAATTTAAATATTTGTCACTTATTGTCAATAGTTTTAATAATAAGTAACAATTGTAAAATTTAATATTAATTTAAATTAATGTCGCTTTTTAGATGTAAAAACCCAAACAACT